CACACACACACACACACACACACACACACACACACACACACACACACACACACACCTCTAAAATGAACCAGTGTTGGAGTTTTTAAATTTGACTTTAAGACTCACTGTCCTTTAAAGGTGCCAGTGAGCTTTAACTTTTGTTTGTGTAACAGATTTACAACATGGAGGGCTGATACGGACATAAATAGAAATAAAAGCAGAAATATATGAATGCACCAATGAACAAATAAATGAATAAATAAATTTCCTGATGCATCTCAGTAATCCAGGTAAAAAAAATCAAAAAGAAAAAATATATATGTCTTCTGGACGAGTTCTCGTCTCTTCTCCAAAAGACTAATGTTTCATCAAAGAAGAACCCGTCCAGAAGACTTATAAACATTTTCTTTTTGAATAAATAAATACACATATTTTTAAAACATATACTTTGTTGGAAGTAAGCTGTAAAAATACATCTGAGGATTTTGTACATTTTAAGTCTATTCATTTATCTATTGGTCCCTTGATTTATTTCCACTTTATCAACCACAGTTGATCATTTTGAGGSTAGTTTGTGTCTTTATTTTAAACAAAAGGCAGGTAATTTGAAAAAAAATGGAGAAGAAGGCTTTAAGTGTTGGTACATGACAACATGGCGTTTCCACAGCAACCGCAATAGTCATTTGCAAGATGGGGGATTGGCTGCTCAGCGCATGCATATTTGTAACTATTCTAAAGAGGAACTTTCTTCCCTAAATTATTTTTTTTTTCAAAAACTCAGCTTCAAATTTATTTGACGTCTCAGAGCCTACAAATTACTAAGCTAATTACAAAGTTGCTGTTCTGTGTCGTCCTAAATAGGCTATTCCCTCTGTATTTAATCTCCAGCAGCACTGACGTCTTCCTATCAAGCATGCACACACAATCGTCACATTTCACAGATTTTTTTATTGTGGCTAGAATCTGTTCTGCGTCTTATATTCCCTCATTGATAAATCTGTAGATTAATCATTCAATGCTCACAAAATGCTATGAAACTGTCGAATACATTTACAAAATAGACTGAATTTAAATTGTTACTAATTCAGATTAGCAAAAAGCAAATACTGTTTTATGCTTAAATATCAGTTTCATGCCATTACAAAATCCGTCAATTCTGTCCTTGTTCCAAATCAGAGTCAGGGTGAGAGCTGGAGCCTGTCTCAGCAGCTTTTGGGTGAAAGCCGGTGACACCTGGACAGGTCTCAGTCCATCAGGGACACAGAGACAAACAACTATCCACCCTTCCAGTCACAGCTAGAGTCACACAGAAGAGCTCCAGAAGGTTTTTAAACTTAGAATCTGAGTTGTAATCACTTATTATCAACAATTCATCATATAAACCATAGTCCTAAATATTGATAATTTTTGCTGTTTGCATCATTTAAATGTCAAATTTGTTGTCATATTTATTTATCATGTCATATTTCGAACTTGTTTGATGAGAGTAAGTTTTGCAACACAGGTTGACTACTTGAACTTCAAATATCATTTAGTTGCTTTTAGTATTATTTTAGGGCTCTCAAGACAGAATGTAGTGATAGATTTAGAATACAACAGAGTAGGCTGACATATTTTTTGTTGCCACTTATCGTTATCGTGAGAAAACCTAGAAATTATTGTGAAAAACCTTTCACATGGTTCCCGCGGGGTCTTAAAAAGCCTAAAATGGTCTAAAATTTTAAAATCTAAATTTTAGGCCTAAAAAATTCTAAAAAAAAACCGCCCAAATTTTCATTTAAGGTCGTAAATTTAGATGGATCAAGTCTTATTTTTTACATTCAATCATTCACGTTAGCTGCATAAATGCAGTGCCGTAATCAGAAGTTGATGCACTCTGTCTTCATGAGGTGCTGCTGGGTTTGGTACTGGTGATGATATGTGCCTAAACTACAAATCCCACCATAACTGCAGGCAGGACATGGCTCAGGTAACGGCCAAAAAAATACCTCATATACCCAGGGACAAGATCATAGACCTGCACAAGGCTGGAATGGGCTATAAAAACATCAGTAAGATGCTGGGTGAGGAGGAGACAACTGTTGGTGCAATAGTAAGAAGAAATACAAAATGTCTGTCAGTCGGCATCAATCTGGAGCTCCTTGCAAACCTTCACCTTGTGGGGTTTCCTTGATCATGAGGAAGGTGAGATCAGTCTAGAACTACAGGGTGAAATTTTTAATGATCTTATGGCAGCTGGAACCACAGTCACCAAGAAAACCATTGGTCACGCATGATGCCATAATGTATTAAAATCCTGCAGTGCCCGCGAGGTCCTGCTCAAGAAGGCACATGTAGGCCCACCTGAAGTTTGTCAATGAACACCTGGATGCTTCTGAGAGTGACTGAAGGTGCTGTGGTCAGAGGAGACAAAAAATGATTTCTTTGGCATTAACTCAACTTGCCATGTTTGGAGGAAGAGAAATGCTGAATATGACCCAAAGAACATCGTCCCCACTGTCAAGCATGGAGGTGGAAATATCATGTTTTTCTGCTAAGGGCAAAGGGCTACTTCACCACTTCAGTGGGAGAATGGATGGAGCCATGTACCGTAAAATCCTGAATAACAACCTCCTTCCCTCTGCTAGGATGGGTCGTGGCTGGGTCTTCCAGCACAATGACCCAGAACATACAGTAAAGGGAACAAAGGAGTGGCTCGTAAAGAAGCACATTAAGGTCATGGAGTGGTCTCTAGCCAGTCTCCAGACCTTAATCCCATTGAAAACCTATGGAGGGAGCTGAAACTCCAAGTTGCCAAGTGACAGCCTCAAAATCATAATGATTGAGAGATGATCTCAGTGGACCAAAATTCCTCCTGACATGTGTGCAAACCTCATCATCAACTACATACAAAGTCTGACTGTTGTGCTTGCCAACAAGAGTTTTTCCACCAAGTATTAAGTCTTATTTACTTATTTCTCTCTGTAAAATGCAAATGCATAATTTAAACAGTGTTTTTTTTCTGGATTTTGTTTTTTAATATTCTATCTCTCATTGTTAAAATTAACCTGCCCTTAAAATTAAAGACTGTTCATGTCTTTGTAAAAGGGCAAACTTGCAAAATCAGCAATGGATTAAACATTCATTTCCCCCACTGTACCTATACGTCTCCACCAATTACAGGATTTAAAGATGAGAAAATAGCAAGATAAAAGGCAACATTATGAAAATTCAGTACTGGGTAAACATAAACAATTAAATAAATTAATAAGTAAACGAAGATCCAGTATTTACATTATATACATGGTAAGATGGTAAGTCCAAATATGAGAAATCATTTTTTCAAATCTATTCAAATTAGCTGTAAGTTTTTCAATGAAGTAAAAAGGTTTATTTATGCAAAATAGTAAAGAGAATGAAATATTTAATGTGATTTTATCTATAATAATAATAATAATAATAATAATAATAATAATAATAATAATAATAATAATAATAATAATAATAATAATAATAATAATAATAATAATAATAATAATAATAATAATAATAAAAAAATAATATAAACAGTATACAAGCAAGATCAGGGAAAATTAAAAAAATTCGGGGTCACCAGTCACTCCTTGTACTTCCTTGTTAGGTTAGTGATGTGGCCCCCCCTGGCGGTGCCTCTGTATAGATATATAGGAAATCTTTTGCTAATTTCAAAAACAATTTCTTCAGAGTAACTTAATCAAAGCTTTAGATGCATCAGGATCACATAAAAACTGCTGTATTGCGTTTCTGAACTTTTATATATAAAAAAAAAACAGAAATGATTTTGTCCGACACTTTCCGGGACAGTAAACGCAGCATCGAATCCCCTCCCTTTAATCGCTTCCGGTCGCTTCAGAGATCCAGACAGCAGACGGTCCCACAGCATCCTGCCCCTCAGCTGCACTCCGAACCCCGGATAAGATGGATCTCCAGGTTCTGATAGAGCAGATGGAGACGGGAGAGCAGGACACGGTGCTGACGGTGTTACAGAGCTTCAACAAACAGGTAAATAAACACCTTGAGCGCGAGGGAGAGGGCTGGGCTCCACCTGCTGCTGCTCTGCCTCCGACTCACCCCCCCTTGCTGTCCACCTGCAGGGATTTATTTAAAACCTTTTCTGTTTTACACTTCCTTTATTATCGCGAGAGATGCCGTTTTAACCTGCGTTCGTTTGTCTGTCTGTTAGCAAAATATCCCATAAACCACTGGGCTGCAGATTTTAATGAGCCTCCCACATAATAATAATTGGCTTCGATCAAATATTGATTTTTGGAGTCAACCCAATTCAACATGGCTGCCACAACTAACTGACCTTGTCTGATGTAAAATGGTCCCACCAATGAAATTTGAAACACTGACTGAATTATTTTAAATTTATTTATGGAGATAATTTCAGCACATGGTATTGTGTTCCCTCTGTAGGGCCCAAGCCTCATCCCTGCCACAGACAGACAGTAAGTCAACAACAAAGACTGAGAGCTCCTCTGATACCACATAGTAAACAATCCCTTCAGTATCTCAATCTGAAACTTGAGATTGACTTACAAATTCCTAACATGGAAGTTGATAACTCAGTTATTTTACAGTTGTTTTTCCTCTCTTTATTTGAACTGCTCCATGCTCTGATTCCCAAACACAGATTCAGGATTTAGAGGTCATCAAAGGTTGAAAATTGTGCATAAGACCATAAAAAAATTGCGATGTCGCGCAGACAGATCACGCCAAAATTTCTCAACAGTTTTTCAAACCAAAGCAGGAAACAAACTAGATAAAACATTTAGATAAGTTCTGGACTGATATGGGTGTCTAGGCTTTATAAATGAGTAAAACACACCAGGTAACACTAATAGAAGTCATCTGGGGTACAAAATTCTGACAAACTTTCTAAAAGAACCACTCATTTAATGGAAGACCTTTTCAAAGACATACTGTATGCTGCACAGTTGCCTTGGAGCAAGAAGGTTGTAGGTTCGACTCCGGGCCAGGTCTGTTGTGTGGGTTTGCGTTCTGACTGGTCAGGGGTAGGTTTATATGGGTACTCTGGTTTCCTCACACAGTGCAGGGTTTTCACCAATGTATTATTACCCTGGTGGGTTGTCAGGATGCCAGGAACCCCCCTCCCATCCCCAGGCTTAGCGTTGTTTATTAGAACCAGTGCTGTTTTTAAATGGCCTGAACGACATTCAGAACGTCACGCCTACAAACTGTTTCACGGGGGACTTTTTTGTTGATGCACCACTACTTAGCAAGAGAAGAGCACTGGTCTTCCTGCTCGGCAATCAACGAGTAGCAGAACCAAAGGCTCAGTCCTCAGTTCAGGTTGGCTCATTTATTTATTTATTTATTTATTAGAAAAAAACAGTTTATGCCATTTGTGCAGCTCACTCGTGTACAGCGGGTAAAATAAGTATTGAACACGTCACCATTTTTCTCAGTAAATATATTACTAGAGGTGCTAATGACATGAAATTTTCACCAGATGTCGGTAACAACCCAAGTGATCCATACATACAAAGAAATCAAACCATAAATGTCCAGAAATGAAGTTATTTGTAATAATGTGGAATGGCACAGGGAAAAAGTATTGAACACACTTACTGAAATTTATCTAATACTTTGTACAAAAGCCTTTGTTGTCAATGACAGCTTCAAGACGCCTCCTGTATGGAGAAACTAGTGGCATGCATTGCTCAGGTGTGATTTTGGCCCATTCTTCCACACAAACAGTCTTCAAATCTTGAAGGTTTCGTGGACCTCTTCTATGAACTCTGATCTTTAGTTCTTTCCATAGATTTTCTGTTGGATTCAGGTCAGGTGATTGGCTGGGCCATTCCAGCAGCTTTAGTTTCTTTCTCTGAAACCAACTGAGAGTTTCCTTGGCTTTGTGTTTGGGCTCATTGTCTTGCTGAAATGTCCAGCCACGTTTCATCTTAATCATCCTGGTAGATGGAAGCAGATTTTTATCAAGAATGTCTCTGTACATTTTTCCATTCATCCTTCCTTCAATTATTTGAAGTTTGCCAGTACCATATGCTGAAAAACAGCCCCACACCATGATGTTCCCACCTCCAAACTTCACTGTTGGTATGGTGTTTTTGGGCTGATGTGCAGTGCCATTTGACCTCCAAACATGATGTGTATTCTGGCATCCAAACAGTTCAATGTTGGTCTCATCTGACCAGACTATATTCTCCCAGTATTACACAGGCTTGTTTAAATGTTGTGCAGCAAACTTTAAAGGAGCTTCAACATACTGTTTCTTCAGCAGTGGAGTCTTGCGTGGTGAGCGTGCATACAGGCCATGGTGGTTCAGTGCATTACTTATTGTTTTCTTTGAAACAAACGTACCTGCTAATTCCAGGTCTTTCTGAAGCTCTCCACAAGTGGTCCTTGGCTCTTGGACAACTCTTCTGATAATTCTTTTCACTCCTCTGTCAGAAATCTTGTGAGGAGCACCTGGTCGTGGTCGGTTTATGGTGAAATAATGTTCTTTCCACTTCTGAATTATGGCCCCAACAGTGCTCACTGGAACCTTCAGAAGTTTAGACATTCTTCTGTAACCGATGCCATCATTATGCTTTGCAACAATAAGGTTGTGAAGGTCTTGAGAGAGCTTTTTACTTTTACCCATCATCAGATGGTTCTTGTGTGATACCTGGCCATCATTTGGGACTGAACCAGCTGATATTAACTTGCACTGACAAGGGGCAGGCTTGCTTTCTAATTACTGAGAGAGTTCAGCTGGTGTCTTGGCTTTCCATGCCTTTTTACACCTCCCTTTCTTCATGTGTTCAATACTTTTTCCCTGTGTCATTCCACATTATTACAAATAACTTCATTTCTGGACATTTATGGTTTGATTTCTTTGTCTGTATGGATCACTTGGGTTGTTACCAACCTCTGGTGAAAATTTCATGTCATTAGCACCTCTAGTAATATATTTACTGAGAAAAATGTTGACGTGTTCAATACTTATTTTACCCGCTGTATCTCCTGTTCCTTGCTTCAGCTCCCACGGCAAGAAAAAAACACCCTGCTCGCAGTGCAGACACACATACATGCATAAACACAAACACATACCTGCCTGCTTGTAAAATGAGAGAGAGATAAAGACAGAAGAGAGAGAGAGAAACAATCATTAGAAACGTTCCTGAACCACCCCGCCTCTCTCAACCCCCTCTGCCAGTCTGGTGAAATCCCTGCAGTCCAAAAAACTTGCATGTTCACATGACCTGTTTCTGTCTCCGTGTGCTCCTATGATAGACCGGTTTTTGGGACTGATTTATAAAATCTGGAGCTTTTCGGCTCCAGTCAGATCCAGTCTATATGTGCAGAAACCAAACAATGAAGCTTTGAAAGAAAAGAAAACCATGCCTGATGTGAACCATGAATTTTTCTCAGTTTTGTTTTGGAGCTGCATGGGGAACTTTAAGTCTGTTCAGGGGACAATGAGGTCTCAAGACTATCAAGGTATCCTGCAGCTAAATGTACTGCCTGGTGTCAGAAGGCGCAGTCTCAGCTCTACACTCTTACAGCAGGATAATGACTCAAAACGTCTAACAAACAGCTTCAAAAATGACTGAAATAAACAAACATTGGATCATTCTTAAATGGCACTGCATGCAAATTTACCAAATTTACCAAAGTAAATTGGTAAACTTACTTTCCAAATTTACCAAATTTCCCTCTGGGATCAATGAAGTATTTTTGAATGAACCCAGATTTTCATCTTATTGAACATCTTTGGAAACTGCAGTGTGGAGACACCGCACTCCAAACCTTAGGAAGAGTGAGCCGAGCTACCTGTAGTCAAATGAAAACCTCTTATTGTGAAGTTCAGTGGTCGCCTGTTGACACTCAAAACATTATATTAAGAGTTCTGTCTTTTAGTCCATGATATTTTTATTTTAGTTTCAAGCTGTTTCAGTGATTGTTGTGTTTTAAATGGTTATAAAAGTGGATCAATACCCTTGTATCTGTAAGTAGAAAACAACACCTTAGATCAATTTGACACAATTTACCAAGTGTCTGCACACTCCTAGCCTGGTAAAAACCAGACCCTTGCCCTTCACTTTGCTTCGTACGAGGGTCTGGACTCTCGGCTATAGAGAAGTGATTCTTGCTGGAGGCGTGGCCTCTGCTGAAGTTTAAAATGATTGGATCGGTTGGCTGCGACGTATGTCACTGTGAAGGAGGCTAAGCTAAGCAGCTAACATGAAATCGTGTGTGCTGTAAACATCCCTACTGAGGGGAGAGAAGTACCGAGCCGAACGAGACGACTGTAAATGAGAGCTGCTGCTTTGTCAGACAAATTTAATTTAATTTGGAAGTCTTATCAACACGGACTGGCTTCATTCACTTCCTCCACTGCTGTATGCTAAACTAATTAGCAGACACTGTGCAGAACATCGACGTCGTTCAAAACTCTGCCTTCTGTTCTCTGATTGGCCCAGGTAAAATAAACTATAAGTAGACATTGAGCAGAAAATCGACATTCTGTTCTCTGATTGACCCGGAAGAAAATTCTCCTGAAGGAATCCATCTCAATGGGAAGAATCCCAGACGGAGCAGAGAAGGGAAACTAGAATTGAGTGGAGCTGTGTAGGAAGGCAAGGACCAAGCTAGCACACCCCACTTGTCTTCTAAAACCCAAGTGAGCCATCCTTCTTGGCTCCTGCTGCCTGAGAGTTGCGAGTTGATCTTGACAGCAGTAAGATTAGATTCTCAGCTACACAAATAGTCACTCAGCCTAATCTAATCCCAGTCCAATAAGGAGCTCAGTGGATGAAGATCTTAGTTAAAGGAGACTCTGTCAAACAAGGAGAGTTCTTGTTTTCTTCTGTCTTCATGAACTCACATTTGTCTGTGCTTGATGACCTAAATGCTTTTAAAAGAGAAATGCTTTGGTCACTTTCATGAAGGTGTGGATTAGAGTGAAAATGATTGGGCATCAGGCTAAACGCTGTGTTGTGAGGTTTGGAAAGCAGATTTCTTCTGCTTAAAGTTACTTTCTGTCAGTTGACGTAAATTACGTAGACAGGGTGTCCCTTATCCTCGAGGCGTCTATAAGAAGAAGGACGGGGGGTACTCTGGAGTCCCCTGGTAACCGTATGGAGCACAACCAGGTCTCCATCTCTCTTCTTACTGCTCTCCTTCGTTTGGTCGAACCAGAGTCAATAAAAGCCTTCTGTCATTGTATTGTATGTGTGTCTAGAGTTAGCAGTTTGCTAAGTCTCTATAAACATTTTAGACAACTTATGAAGACTTTTTATGTCTAAATTACTAATTTAAGTTATATATTTGATCAATTTGTTACCATTACAGTATATACATGCCTAAAATAGGCTCCCAGTTGATTTTATTTCAATTCCATTTTCATCTTAGAGATCTTATTTTTTTTAAGTTGGCACAAGTTGTCTAAAACGTAGTGTGATAGAGCCTTAACGGGATAAAAAGTCCAAAATACTCTCAACTCTATTGTAGAGACTGCAAACAATATTGAAAACCAACAAAAACAAAATGCACCTTTTAAAAAAAATCAATAGAACAAGAATAAAGCTGTGATTGACCTTCTTACAGTTATGCATAGCTTTGCAATGTATTGTGGTCTAGATATATCCATGCCTAAACAGTGTTCAATGTTGTGCATGAGAAACAAAATCATGTAAGCAGTTTTTCAATCTGTGATTTTCAAAATCTGTCCTTTCAGAACGCAGCCACATGGTTCACTGGTTACTTGGTTCCAAACGCTCAGAGTACAGTGAGACTGCAATGACAAATTCACCCATTTTCTCATCATTTTGTGTCAATGACTAGTTGCCAACAGTTGCAGCCCAGTGAGGTACTACCTTCAGTTTCTATCAGAAAACACAAGAATTGTGAGAAACTTCTTGGTAACTAAATTGTGACTGATTGGAGACCAAAACAAAGTTAAAAAAAAAGATGCAAACACATCATAAGGACAAATTAATGGTGTTTCCAAGTAAAGGTTTGAGTATTTTCAGTTAGTGGTCAACCATCACAGCCCAAGATAGAAGCTTTACAGTTTTATTTCATTAGGTGCACGTTGGTTTTAGTTGTACTTTGGACCTGTTTTCAGTGTGGTTTAAATAAATTCTAACAATGACCCTATACATTTTAATTTTAAGCAACAGTTTGTGTAAAATGCTAAAATTGTGAAAGATTTAAGCGATCTTGCAGATGGGAGCATCTGTTTGTCTTATCTCAGTCTTTGCTCTCCACTGCTTCTTATTTCCCACTATCTGCTTCTTCATCCATCTTTCTGTGTGTCGTCTTCTTTATTTCAGATGAGTCAGTGCTTCACGTTCAGCAGAGAAGAAAAAATGGACAGAGAGGTATTGTTAATATTGCCAACACAAAGTCTTTGCCAAATCTTTGCTTTCTGTTGATGGAAATAAATACTTTCCTGAACCACATTCAGAGTTGTTTAGTTAAATTATGTTAACAAATTTACAAAATCTAAAATAAGCTAAAACTTGCATTAGTTTTGTGTCTAAACTGTATCATCTGTCTCTTCCCTGACTGTTTACCTCATGCTTTAGGAAGTAAAGCAACAAAAGGTATGAATAAACTATTAGTTTGTAGACTACTAGTTTTAAAATTTGTAATTTCGATGCTACTCCTGGTAATTTCTCACAATTTTCAATCTTCAACTATAGAGTCTAGTTAGACACTTTCACAAAATGAAAATTCAGTTCACAATTTAACTCTGACTAAACACGAAACATCTCGTTCCTTGTTTTGTTGCTACGGCTGAGCACTAACAAATAACTGAGCTCTATGTGGTATTTCCTGCACAGAAACAGCATTTTACCTCATCCTCTTGCACTGAAAAGTACTACATGTATGACGACTAAATGTGAAATTGATACAGAAATACTATTAAAAGTAAAAGTAAGAGTGTTTTACTCACTGAGTTGTGGTGAGGAGCTGCTGTCTTGAAATCTGAACTTTCCAACTGTAAGAGGGAAATTCCCAATTCCCAGTTCCCAAATTCCTGTGAAGTAGCTGGCAAAATGCAAGTTTTTACATGACACATTTTGCCAGCTGCTACTTTTGAACCCTGTGCACCACCACTTCATGGTGGGATTCTGTCAGCTCAGGGGTAAATTAATCAGCATGCAATATGGGAGAAGCAGTTTATGGTCAATGTTAGCTTTAAAGCATTAATAGATATTTGAAGCTCTCACAGGCCACACAAAATGCTGCAGTGGGCCACATTTGGCCTGCAGGCCTTGAGTTTGACAGGTTCTCCCTTTCTGTGAATTCACTGTGATCATCTTAATGCACAGTTTGGGATGTGGAAAAGTGACGACACATCTTGTTAAGTTTGAATCTAATGTGTACACATGCTGTATAAAAACACACATTAACCAAAAAGAAAAAAATAAGTAGGTCCTCTGGATGGGTTCTTCTTTAGTGAAACATTTCATCTCTCCTCCAAGAGACTTCTTCAGTCTGATGAGTTTCAGGTAAAACTCAGCCTTATAAGCACTGCCTCCACATGAACATGTGGTCAGGTGATGGGGCACATTACCCTCTATGAACAATAGAGCTAATCAAGCCTATTGTTAGGCGATGGCCCTCTTTTGCATG